ATAAACAAAATAGACAAGCCTTTAAGTAGGCTCATCAAGAAAAGAAGGGAACGGACACAAATAAACACAATCAGAAATGAAAGAGGAGAGATTACAACTGACACCACAGAAATAGAGAGGATTGTAAGAAATTACTATGAAGAACTGTATGCCAAGAAATTTGAGAACCTAGGGGAAATGGACACATTTCTAGAAAAATATAATCTCCCAAAACTCAATGAAAAAGAAGTAGAACACCTGAATAGACCAATAACAGCAAAAGAAATTGAAGCAGTAATCAAAAAACTCCCATCACACAAAAGCCCTGGACCAGATGGATTCACAGGAGAATTCTACAAAGCATTTAAGGAAGAGCTAACCCCCATTCTTCACAGACTATTCCAAAAAATACAAAAGGATGGAAAACTCCCTAACTCCTTTTATGAAGCCAGCATCATCCTAATTCCAAAACCAGATAGAGATACAACAAAGAAAGAAAACTTCAGGCCAATATCGCTGATGAACATAGATGCTAAAATCCTCAACAAAATATTAGCAAATCGCATCCAACAATATATCCAAAAGATAATACACCATGACCAAGTGGGTTTCATCCCAGGGATGCAAGGATGGTTCAACATTCGCAAAACAGTAAATGTAATTCATCACATAAACAAAAGCAAAGACAAAAACCACATGATCATATCAATAGACGCGGAAAAAGCTTTCGATAAGGTACAACACCCATTTATGATAAAAACACTCAGCAAAATGGGAATAGAGGGAACATTCCTCAATATAATAAAGGCCATTTATGAGAAACCTACAGCCAATATCATACTCAATGGACAAAAACTAAAAGCTTTTCCACTAAGATCAGGAACAAGACAAGGATGTCCACTTTCACCACTCCTATTCAATATAGTATTAGAAGTTTTGGCCACAGCGATCAGGCAGGAAAAGGAAATAAAAGGCATCCAAATAGGAAAGGAGGAAACAAAATTGTCACTGTTTGCAGATGACATGATAGTGTACATGGAAAATCCTATAGACTCTACCCAAAAACTGCTCAAACTAATTAATGAATTTGGCAAAACAGCAGGATACAAAGTCAATATCCAGAAATCAAAGGCATTTTTGTATACAAACAATGAATCAGCAGAAGCAGAAATCAAGGAAAAAATCCCATTCGATATAGCAAAAAGAAAAATAAAATATCTGGGAATAAACCTAACCAAAGAGGTAAAAGACCTGTATGCAGAAAACTACACAGCACTGAAGAAAGAAATCAAGGAAGACACAAACAAATGGAAACATATACCGTGTTCATGGATTGGAAGAATTAACATCATCAAAATGTCCATACTACCCAAAGCAATATACAGATTCAATGCTATACCTATTAAAGTACCAATGTCGTATTTCACAGACATAGAACAAACACTTCAAAAATTTATATGGAATCATAAACGAGCCCGAATAGCAGCTGCTCTTTTGAGAAAGAAGAACAAAGTAGGAGGGATCACAATACCTGATATCAAACTGTATTACAAAGCCACTGTAATCAAAACAGCCTGGTACTGGCATAAAAACAGGCACATAGACCAATGGAACAGAACAGAGAGCCCAGAAATCAACCCAACCCTCTACAGTCAATTAATATTCGACAAAGGGGGCAGTAACATAAAATGGAGTAAAGATAGCCTCTTCAGCAAATGGTGTTGGGAGAACTGGACAGCTACGTGCAAAAAAATGAAACTTGAGCACCAACTTACACCATACACCAAAATAAATTCAAGGTGGATAAAAGACTTAAATATAAGCCATGACACCATTAAAGTCCTAGAGGAGAACATTGGCAAGAAAATCTCAGATATTCCACGCAGCAACATTTTTATAGATATGTGCCCTAGAGCAAGGAATATAAAGGAAAGAATAAACAAATGGGATCTTATCAAAATAAAAAGCTTCTGCATGGCTAAAGAAAACAGTATTAAATTAAAAAGACAACCAACTGTATGGGAAAACATATTTGCCAATGATACCTCAGACAAAGGTTTAATCTCCAAAATATACAAAGAACTTACACGACTCCACTCTAGGAAGACATTGAACCCAATTAAAAAATGGGAAAAGGACTTGAACAGACACTTCTCTAAAGAGGACATACAGAACATCCAGAGACACATGAAGAGATGCTCAATATCGTTAGCTATCAGAGAGATGCAAATTAAAACCACAATGAGATACCACTTTACACCAGTCAGGATGGCTATAATAGACAAAGCAACAAACAACAAATGTTGGAGAGGGTGTGGGGAAAAGGGGACCTTAGTTCACTGTTGGTGGGATTGTAGACTGGTACAACCATTATGGAAAACAGTATGGAATTTTCTCAGAAAAATAAAAATTGACCTGCCTTTTGACCCAGCAATTCCACTGCTAGGATTATACCCCAAGAATCCTAAAACATCAATTTCAAAGAACCTATGCACCACAATGTTCATAGCAGCACAATTTACAATAGCCAAGAGTTGGAAGCAACCTAGGTGCCCATCAGTAAATGAATGGATCCAAAAATTGTGGTACATATACACCATGGAATTTTATGCAGCAGAGAGAAAGAAGGAGCTACTACCTTTTGCAACAACATGGATGGAACTGGAAAGCATTATGCTGAGTGAAATAGGCCAGGCATTGAAGGACAAATACCATATGATCTCACCTTTGACAGGAAGCTAAAGAATAAAACAAATAAGCAAATAGAATAAAAACAAAGACGCTGAAATAGAGAACAAGTGGGCAGCGACCAGAGGGGAGAGGGAAGGGAACTTAAGGGGAAAAAGGGGGAGGGATTTTGAGGAACAAGTATGAATGACACAGAGATGAGGACTTGGGGGGGGGAATGGGAGGGAGGGGGGAGACCGGGCGGGGGGGGGGAAGAGGGAAAAAAAATGTACTTGAAAAGTAACCAAATAAAATTATTAAAAAAAAAAAAAAAAAGAAATACAAATTGATAGTTACAAAATAGTATAATAGGGGTGTAAAGGGGTGACTATAATAGGGGTGGCTATATTGGAAATATAGTCAATAATAATGTAATAACTAAGTATGGTGCCAGGTAGGTACTTAAAATATCACTGGGATCACTTCTTAAATTATATGATTGCCTAATCACTGTGCTCTACATCTAAAATGAACATAAAGTAACACTGAATGTCAACTGTAATTGAAAAATAAAATTTTAACAAAATTGGAAACTGAGTTTTATAAAGATTTGCAAAGCTTATAGACATAATAATACTTGAAAGGACTGTGATTCAAACCCAGACCTTCTGACAATGATGCCTATGTATTCAACCACTAAACCACATGGGTGTCTGGTTCTAATATGCCACTTTTAATTTAAATAATAAAATGAAAGTATTGTCTTAAAACAACAATTGCCTAAATAAGCACTTGTTGAATTGAATAAGTGCTATTTTGATGGGAGAGAAAAACACACAAATTACAAAAACAAGTTATAAGAAAAAATAGTCATTGTAAGTTCTAATAAACACTAATAAAAGAGCTAAGGAAGAAAATCAGTGAGGAACCTGGTTTAGATAAGGAAGGCCTCTTGATATAGATGACATATAAGCTGAATCTTAAGAGATGAGGAGGAGCCAGTCACACAAAAAATGGAGAGAACAGTATTACAGGCAGAAGAATATCATGTACAAAGGTCCTGAGGCAGACATGCATGTGAACTTTCTATGAACCAAAAGACTACCAGTGTGTTGGGATAGAATGAGTAAGGATAGAGTGGCACCAGATGCCCTCAGAGGTGGCAGAGGCTGAACACAAAGGGCCTCATCGGCCAGGGCAGAAAGTTTGGCTTTTGGTCTAAGTGCAAAGGGAAGACACTGAAGGATTTTAAGCAAAAGAATGGCTATATTTTCATACTTACTGAATTCATCACTTACAAAAAAATCTGAAGGATAAGAATGTCTGAAAATATTTGGAATGTGTTTGGAGAAACTAAAAGTATACATGTAGAATAAAATATTTCCATTATGATTGAAGTTATTGATTGTCAACAACCCCAAAACTCTTTTGGGACACTTAATAAAGATTTCATTGACTTTGCTTTTTTCCACACATGTCATGAATATGTAAGGAATACTGGGAACCCTTAAAACGGGTTAGAAGACAAGAGTTATGAGCTAGGGAGGAAAAGTTAGAGTAACTGAGAAAGATGGCCAGAGCTGACAGGTATGAGGGCACAGAACTAGAGCCAATATCTAGGCTATGAGGACCACATTAGATGAGAGGTGATTTGTAATATGCTGTGGTACAGATTGCTTGTAAAAAGGAAAGGCAGGATTCCAGTGTAAAATTGTGAGACGTTGCAAGATGTTGGACATTCCAGCCCAAATGCTATAAGGAAACTTAGAGAAAATGTAAATTTATATATCAGATAATTATCTTTACAAGTCAATCTCCCTTTGGGGCAATATATCTTTGCCATTGTAAGCTTCTTCCTGGAATGTTAAGGTTTATTTTCTGTCAAAGCTGCTTCATTCCCTTCATATTCTTTTTTTTTTAACTTGCTTCATATTAGTAACTCTCTTGGCACTAATTAAGACCACTGCCATTAATATAATAAAGTGTTTCTATTTTCACATGATATATTGAGTAATCAACAATATTTCCTCTTAAGGAAATTTATTCCTAAGCAAAAGCTTATGGGGAAATGGTGCCATGTTCGGATTTCCATTACCTGCTGACTGATGACAGATTGATGTAAAAAAGTACATAATAGCTGAGCTTTCCCAAATGTGTCAGTGTTGTTGATGCTTTTAAATTGTATTACTATGAGATAGTATGTGTCATAAGAACAACTCTGGACTTAGTTTCAACTTTTTTTCTAGAGGATGAAGAATAGCTTATTAAATGCCAGCTATAAGCTTCATGATAACTAATAACTTTCACTTCACAGCAGCTGATAATAAGTAAGAGCAAAAACGGTGAATACCTACTGTTGCCAGGTAACTGCATCCACTGTGCTCCCTGCCACCTTCATGAATCTGTGAGGAAGATAAAGAACAAAGATATTGCAACTTGAAGTAAACCATATCTCCAGGGTTAAAACAAAATAAGCTGAGGCATAGATCAGGCAATTCCCTGGGCAGCTGTGCTTTTGGGGATGGCCCACAGGCACAAACATGGCCAATCCACAACTATTGGAAGTTAAACTGTACAGAATGTGAAGGTAATTGTGCTTTCAGCTCTCTATACATACTTCATCACCTGGAACTCAAGACCCAAAGGCACATTCTACCTATGTCTGTCTTCCTCAGCCCATGCCTGGTAGCTCCCAAATTGCTTTCCCTATGATCAAAGCTTATCTGTCCCATTTCATGTTCTCTAAGGATGCTGAGGGCCCCTAGAAAACCGACTAGATAACATTTCCCAAGGATGACAACATAACAGATGCCTTTGAAGAAACCTCAGATCTCTCCTTTAAAGAGAGCATGGGAAAACCTGATTTCTTACACAAGCAAAAAGCATGATCAAATATATCCCAATGATGGGCTGTTATACCTGTCTGAATGTAGAAACCTGAGCACCATACAGAGAAATCTAACCATTTTTTTGAGCAGTTAAGTAGAGAAGTGAGTGTCACCTGACAAACATGCTCACCTCCAAAGGCAAACCAGACCTGTTTCTCTGAAAAGCACACAGTAAAGTCTTGCTGGAAATTCCCCACCCTCCTGTGCTACTTGGATGTTCCACCAGAGCCGCAGGATCAGAGGGAAGCATCTGAGGCCTCCCTTAAATTTACAGGGTATTATAAATTTAAGTCTGAGAATAACTTTTTTACCTATCTTCCCTTTTCCCCCCATCCACGTGTTCTGAGAACATGTGCTGACATGGCTGTGGTTATTATTTGAGAGAATTACCACCCAGGCACAGAAAATCCAAAGGAACATCTCAGTTTGTTAAGATGTTCCTTTCAGCTCTGACCCTGAAGGAGAATTTCCCTTCAGATAGAAACAATCTTCACTCAGTACTTCATAATTAAAGAACTCTTCCACTAGAAAGGGAGACAGTGTTTTGTCAGGAAGGCCCTATCCCTGCCCCAGCATAACCTTGCCAGGTGAACACATGGGCAAAGGGGTTGTTGTGCATTGCCGAAACAGAGGTCCTGCTTTGCCATGATGGTAAAAGAGGACTGAGTTTCTATAGGACTGGGAGAGAGGTAGAGAGAGGATAACAGGACTACAGCTTAGCATCAGAGTGAAGTTCATAAAACAAGATGAAGAGGAAGTAGAGGAGACTGCCTGGGACTGCGATGGTGAGAGGGAAGGGGAGGAGGGAGGGGCGGGAGGAGGAAGAGGAGGAGAGGAGCATGAGGAGGAGGAAAGGCTTGTATAGTCTCTTTTCCACCCTGCCACGTTCTACTCTGAGTCAATAAGCATGCAATCAGCTATACGCTTGATCAGAGAGGAGAAAAATGAAAAAATACAGGGAGAATAAATGCAGATTGGCATCCAAAATACTATTCCTGGCACAGATATAGGCTAAACAGTGGAGATCTGATAATAATCTTATAAGTAATATCGCCCAAAAGTAAAGAGGGAGAGATGGACTTATGCACTCTTTCTCAGGATATTTTATTTTTTTGATACTTACCTGAGGATATATTTATTGATTTTAGAGAGACACGAAAGGGAAGAGAGAGAGGAAGGGAGAGAGAAAGAAGAGAAGGGAAGGGGAGGGTAGAGGAGGGTAGAAGAGAGAAACATCTATCAGCTGCCTCCTGTACTGGGGTTCAAACCCACAGCCTGGGTATATGCCCTGACCAAGGATTAAACATGCAGACTTTTGGTGTACGGATGATGCTCCGCCAAACTGACCAACCTGGCCAGGGCACTGCGAGGACATTTTAAAGTGATAAAACCTAGACAAACTTAGAAACAAGTATCATTTTAAAAAAGAAATAAAATACTTAAAATATATTTACATGGGCTTTACTCCTTCAAAATAATTTCTAAAAATTTCTGAAACAAATTCTATTTTATGTAAAACTATCTCCATTTACATATAAAATAACCATAATAAAAATAACACTGACATTTATAGTGCTTTCTCATTAAAAAACATTTTAGCTTCTTACGTGCATAATTTCACATAACTTTGAACACAACCCTGGCTGGCAGATATTCCTAATTTATAGTGGAGGAGGCTGAGTCTCGGGGTTATATGACTTGCTCAAACTCATAGAGCTAGTGTGGACTAAATCCAGGTTCTCTGATTCCAATGCCTGCCCTCCTTCCAGGATCCTATACTCCCTCTAAGCTATTTTCACTGAGGCCAAGAAGTACAGTGCAACTCCTAGATGCAAAAAATAAGTTGAATTTTTGTCTTGAGAAAATACTGCCATATTTATCAGGAAAAGCAAGAAGGCCTGATCACCTTCTTTGCTTGCTGGTTTCCTCTCGCAGACTTGAGAATTTCTGTGCCATTTGTCGGACAAGGCACTAAAGCAGGTATCAACAAGTGACTGATTCAGAGTCTCTGCTATAAGACAACCACAATAAAGTTGAAAAGACAGACACTGAGACAATTAGCCGTCAGAGTCTCTGCACGCGCACTGCTGGTACAAGCTGCCTGCTGTGGACAGCAGTCGAGGCAGCAGTTAGCTCCATCTTCTCTGGTGTTAAAAGAGGGATAACCAGTGAGAAAAGCTTCTCATTGCACATGACATTCCACCTGGCATTGAAAGAAGGGTAGGGTTTCGCCATGAAAAGCAGGCAGCACACAGAAAGAGTTTGAGTAAAGCAAGGAAGAATCAAGGCGAGTGTTCTCAGGAATCCAGTGTGGCTGGATGTCAGAGGACAGGTAAGGGAGTGGCAGGTCAGACAAGCCTGTGATGCTAACATGTCTGGCTTCTATTCTGTAACAACAAAGTACAAGTCCATGTCCTATTTGTCTGTGTATGACTAGTACTCAACATATTATGAACTATAGCTAGCTTGTCCTTCATGTATATTTATTGGATTTCTCCTGTGTTTAAACCAGAGAGTGTGGAGATCAGATTTGAGCATTAGGAAGCTGGCTATGGTGAAGGTGAAAGGTACTGGCATGGACAGACTGGCAGGAGATGAGTGTAGAAGCTGGGAGACTTTGAAACCCAGGATGGAAAGCAACACAACTGAGAAACACTGCTGGAGCAGTAAGCAGGACTGGGCAGGTGTGTTTTGGGGGACAGTGTATAAGAAAGGACCCTGCATTTTCAAAAAACATTTTTTGAATTTTTCAATTACAGTTTAGATTTGTTATGATTTTATATTAGTTTCAGATGTATAGCATAGTAAATAATCATATACTTTATAAAATCTTCTTTCAATATTGCCAGTACCCATCTGGTACGGTACACATTTATTACAATATTATTGACTAAATTTCCTATGCTGTACTTTACATCCCTGTGACTATGCTGTGACTACCAATTTGTACTTCTTAATCCTTCATCTTTTTCACCCAGTCCCCCAACCCCTCTCCTCTCTAGCAACCAGACCCTGAAGTTTTAATTGCAATAGTGTCATTGCCTATATGGGCAACCCAAGAACAGACTTTTGAAGCTGATGTTGGTGAATGTATTCTAATACTCCAGTATATGCCACAAAGAACTTGAAGTAAATAGTTATTGGTGATAAGTTATGCATTCACAGAAAATTAGGAGAAAAACATAATAATCAATGCCTTGTTTGGCTAAAAGGCTCTGGGCAGGCAATTAAGACTACATCTAATTTGGCATTTATTTTTAAAAATATTTTATTTATTTATTTTCTTTTAGACAGAGGGGAAGGGAGGGAGAAAGAGAGGAAGAGAAACATCGATGTGTGAAAGACACATCAATTTGGTTGCCTCTTACGCTTCCCCTACTGCGTACCTGGCTTGCAACCCAGGCTGTGCCCTGACTGGGAATCAAACCAGGTACCTTTTGGTTTACAGACCAGCACTAAATCCACTGAGCCACATGAGCCAGGACTAATCTGGCATTTTAGAAGCTGGAAAATGGTTCTTCATGGTATTATAATCTGAAGATCCTCATATGCATTGGATAGTTTTTTCAGCTATAAGTTGATAATTAAGTCCTTAAATAATTTCCATTCTCAAATGTAGCATGATAAAATGAACAGGAAAATGCAGAATCTAGTGAACAAAATGAACAAACAGAATAGGGAAAGGCTCAGAGAGCAGGCTGACAGCTGTTGAGGGTGGGAGGCAGTCAGGGGGATCGAGAGGATGGAGGGATTGAGCAAAAGTGAAAAAAGGGGAAAAAACCCATGGACATAGACAGCAGTGTGGTGATTGCTGGGGGGGGCAGTGGGAGAGGGTATAGAGAGGATAAATGTTGATGGAAGCAAATTTGACTTGGGGTGGTAATGACATGTTGTAGAACTGTGCACCTGAAACCTGTATAATTTTGTTAACCAGTGTCACCCCAGTAAACTCAATAAAGAGGAAAAAAGGAATGGAAAAGCTAGAGCTAGGAACATTTAAAGTAATGCTAATGTTTTCTCCCTACACCCCTACCCCACACCCCTCAAAGAAAATCTGTAATATCCATAATTAAAAATAAAATTTAGTAGACCCATGTATCAAATATTGCATAGTTTAAAGATAACTATTTTAAAATTTAAATAATCCCAGAAAGGAAAAAGATCAATTATTTTTCTTTAATTTATGGCTTTAATAAAATTTTAACAAAAAAACTCAGCAGATATTTTGGAAACTTTATAAAATCATTCTAACATTCATCTGAGAAGCCAAGAAAATTCTGAAAAACTAGAATAATGAAGAAACGTTTACTGAATCTACCATCCATTTAGCATGGAAAGGCAGATAAAGTGCTTCACAGATAAGGTCAAGTTCAAGGAGTTCATCATCACCAAGCCCTTATTATATGAAATGTTAAAGGGACTTATCTAAGAAAAAGAAGATAAAAAACATGTATAGTAAAATGACAGCAAACTCAAAAATATTAACAACCACATCAATAACAAAAACAAACCAA